AACGCCGTGAAAGGGAGTGCAGTGAGGGAGGGCGGGGGCCCAGCGCCCAGCCGGGGCACGAGCCCTGCACAGGTAATCAATGTAAATACCGCCGCACTCCACCGGCCGGCCGGCGCCACGGCCGGCGCCCGGGCCGCACACGCGCGCTCAGTAGTATTGCCAAACGGCGAATGAGTTGGCGAATGATGGGCCTAGGCCAACGGCGGCGGCGGCGGGGCGCTAAGAACAGCCGGCGCCTCAGATAATGCCTGATTACGCCGGGGCTGTACACACCGCGCCCCGCCCCGCCCCGCCACGGCGCGCCACACCCGGCGGCCCAGAGGTCGCGCTCGCTCGCGCACTACCGGGTAAGGCGATGGCCTGGCCCGACCGCCGCCCGCGAGGTCAGCCACCAGGCCACTCGCGAGCAAACGGGCGCCACCCGCGTCGTTGTGTGCACAGGGTGTGTGTGTGGGGGGGGGGGAGGGGTCCAGATCACCGCGCCCAGCAGGAGCGGTGGGGCGTGGGACTGGGCCGCGGCCAGCGCAGGCCCGACTTGCTGGTCAAGCAGTTGCACTCCAGTTGCAGCTGCGTTGGGCGGGGCGGGTAGCGACAGATGAGGCTCAGGTCACCCTCGTCCCACTCGTCCCCCTCGCACCCCGCTGCGTTTGCGTCGCGATGGGTCGCAAACGCAGCAGCACCAGCAGCACCAACGAAAGCAATTCGAGGCCGCAGGGCAACGCAGCGCTTGTTCGTGGCCGTCTGCCACACTGTGGCCACGACGATGGTGATTCGCGGAAGTGGTGCAGCGTCGGCCGCGGAGGAGGTAGAGGAGAGCACCACCACGTCACACGTGCGCCTGTGGCCGCGTCCTGAACGTGGTCCCAGAGCCGGCCGAGCAGGTCAATGAACAGGTCCTGCACTCCCACACACAGCGCGGCCCCGCCCCCGCCCCCGCCCCGCGCGGCCTCTCTGCGGGGCGCCACCGTCAGTGACCAGAGAGAGCCCGGTCCAACGGGGACAGGTTTATTCACCTTCTCTCTCGCTCTTGCGCGCGCAGCCGAGCCCTTCCCTTTTGGCTGCCTTTGGCCTGGACCAGCTGGACGCAGCAGCAGCAGTGGGACCCCCAGACAAAGGCAACGGACTGGCATGGACGCCAACACGCATGGTGATTTCGGGCTGAGGGCGTGCGGTGGGGGGGGGGGGGGGGGCTGACAGCCAGCCGGGACCAGCCGGGGACGCGACGGCTCGAGGCGGCGCCTGGCGGGCGCAGCGAACGGCAAAAGGGGACAATGGCGCCGTCTGATGAGCCGGCGCCGCGCCGTGCGAGTCAGGCGCGGGGGGGCGGGTGGGGAGGGGGCAGCGGTGACTTCAGCGCACGGCGGTGTCGGGGGGTGAGCGGCCGGGCCGGGCCGGCTGCAGCCCACGGCGCCTCATTCAACGCGTTTACTATAGAAGCACGCCGGGACGGGCTGTATGGGAGGCAGACGCGACCGCCTCGAGAGGGGCCGCCGCCTGGCCAAAAAAAGAGAGAAAGATGGGAAACGTAAACCGCGAAGCGCGCGCTGCCGCGGGGCCGCAGGCGATCCACGGCCGGGGCGGAGCGGGCAGGCGGCGGCAGCAGGCAGCATTCCGAGAATTCGCACGAAACGGCCGCCATTGTTTACTCCGATGCGGGAGCCTGCGGCCCCGCGGGGGGGCCCCCGGTGGGGAAAGGGGTACAGCGAGCGGCTGATGGGAGCCAGAAGGCGTTAAGTGACCTGAACGCCAAACAAATGTGGAGTGGAAAGCCCAAAAGCCACGCCACTCGCAAGGAGGAGGAGGAGGGAAAGAGTTCGCAGCAGGCGTGGTGGTGGTGTAGTAGTGTGTGTGAGAGAGAGGGGTGGAGGGCAGGGCGGCCTGAGGAGCCTGGGGGCGTAAACAAGTGGGCCTGGCCTGGCGCTAGCCTGGCGCCCGCCGCCACCGCCGCCTCCTTGGCGCTGGATCGCCTCTCTGACCCGCGAGCCCTTGGCCGGGCCGGGCCGGGGCTCGGCCTCGGCCCACGGCCCGCCCGCGCGTCACCGGCGCGGCGGCGCGGTCATCACGGCGAAGAAGTCTCTCTGACGGGCGGGGCGGGGCCGGGCGGGCCAAGGCGAGAGCCAAAGCTTTTATTATCGCCATCACGACCGCTTCTTCCTTTCCGCATCAAGCTCTCCAAATGTCGACGGCTCTGCCAAGCAACAACGGCTATGCTGCTCATCCCACTTAGCGTCCGCGACGTCCGCGTTATTTGCTCGCAGACACAGTCGTCATCCGGTACAAGCTAGCGGCGCCGAGAAGAAAGACAGTCGCGACGGAGTACACGTGGAGAGCGCGGCGAAAAACGACGACCGTCTTCTTCGTCACCACCGCCACACCATGATCAACGTCGTCGTCTTCGGCGTCGCGTCATTGTCTTGGGAAAACCAAAGGTACCAGCCCTTACGGATGTTTTTGTTTTGCCGGCGCTAATTTTCGTATATTTTTATTTGGAGGGGGGGACGGGACACAGGATGGGGGTCTTGGCTCGCGCCGAGCGGCGGCCGGCGGCAGGCGCCTCTCGGTCGCGTCGCGACGTATGCTTGTGCGGGAGGAGAACTGATGGACACGGCGCCACGACGCGCCGCCGCGACGCGCCACGCCACGGCGCGCTGCGGCGCCAAGAGCAGGGCGCCGCCGCCGCCGCGTCCCCACGGACAACCATACACAACGCCACACTCAAAAATGCATGATCTAAATTTGGCGATGACCTCAGGGGCTGGGCGCCGCTGCTGGGCGCCGCTGGCCGCCATGCGCTGCCATGGGCTGTTGGGGCAGCGCCAGCGCCGAGGGAGGGAAGGGGCGGCGGCGGGGGCATTGGGACACACCCCTCCTCGCCGCGCCGGGCTCCGGCACCGCGGCGGCGCCCTCCCAGCCGGACACATGCGGGGCCGCCGGGGCCGGGGCGGCGCCGAGCTCCGGCGGCGGCGGCCCTCCTGGAGCTTGTCGTGGCGGGTGGGCCGCGCTGTGCCGCCGCGCCGCCGCGGTGAGCGCGCGGGGGGCGCGGCCGCGCGCCGGGCGCCACGGCGCCGCCGAGGAGGAGGCTAATTGACGGCAAACACGTATGGCCTGCCAATGCGCCGTCCCATCCCAGCCGCTAAAAATAAGTCTGATCAAACAGGCGGACCTAGAGGCGTGGCGGGGCGGAGCGTGGCGGGGCGTGGCGGGGGGCAAGGTAAGCAGCGGCAGCGCCGGCCGGCGAGAGAGAAGAGAAAAATACACGGGTTACGTAAATAGCTTAATAGTACAGCGTGTTTGTGAAAGCGGGCGGCCTAACCCGCGAAAGCAACGTGTCGGTGG